TGTGTGTGTGTGTGTGTGTGCATGTGTCATGTGTATGAGTACAAACTAACCCCTGAGGAGATGTAGACCGGCACAAAGATCCAGGCCAGAAGCAGCAGCACATAGGTGGCCTGAGATATGGGAACAAAAAAAAGACAGAAATATAATAATTATAATAAATATAATATAATAATTACCTTATGAAGACAAAACATTGCATTAATAAACCAGTTTAAAACTAGTAAAAATAGCTTGTAAGCTATAGGTGCGTTTAAAGTTTTGTGTCGTGTGCAGGTTGGTGTCAAAGAGTTGTGACACTGCCCCCTGCTGCTCGCTGCCTGCAACAGCAACTTCAGCTCATTTTAATCAATGAATCCTGTATCGGAAGACCACAAAAAAACATTTATTTTTCAGACACAAAGGGAGGATTAATTTTTACACTCCACGTTGTCTTTTTTTTTTTTTTTTTTGAGCGTCACAAACTGAAAGAAACACTTTGTGGTTTCATTAGAAGGCTGGATCTGCTTCATTCCACTTTTAAGATATGTCTAGTCGCTATAAATAGATCAGTCAGAACAAATTATGTTTTGCAGAGAGGATGCTTTTTAAGTTACTCACGTTCCATTCAAATCCTGCGACGGCGATGCCGCCAGCAGCTCCGGTCCCAGCCAGACCGATAAACAGACCAGAACCCTCTGAGCTGGCAAAGAGAGATGAACCAATCTGTGAGCAGCAGGGATTAAAAAAAAAAACAACTGGATTATTTAACAATATAACAATGCTCTGTTATCATACTCTTATTTCAGTAAAGTGTAAATGCTGCTGTGGCTTGTAAACGTTTAAAAATACTTATTTCCAGGAGATTTAAAAAAAACATTTAGAATATAAAAAAAGTCTATTTTAAAGTCTTAAATTTTATACCTTTTTTAATGACATTAAAAATGTAAGCGATCTAAGAAGATTGGTTGTTGTTTTGAGCATTCAGGTAGTTCAGTTCCACGTCTGATATCGTTTGTTTTCACTCTTTTCATGTTGGGCCAGTTTAGCACCCAGATTCTTCTCCTTGAGGGTAAAAGTGTCTTAATGAACAGAATGCAGCTTAACGTTGACATTTTGTTGAAATAAGCAAGGCCTTTTCTTGACAAAGACGTCATCTGGATGGCAGCCTAAGTAAAGCATGCTGCTCCAGATCATAGTTGTGAATGTTTATGAAGCATTCACACGATTATGATCCATTTTTCTTCTGCATGTTTTTCGCTGCAATTCTCTCCGGCAGTTTTCAAACTATTTCAACAAATCAAAATGTTCAGCTCTTTCAGGACAATCCTGCTATGACGGTTTTATGTTAATTTTAGCTTTTTCAGCTAATTACACATTTTTTGCACTCATTTCTACTTTTTTCAGCCAAATTTGTCAAAAATGTACTCTCTCTATTTCCTTCTGGTAACTTCTGTCAGCTTTTTAGCTACTTTTCAGCTGTATTTTGCTAATTTCAGCCTTTATTTTTTTTTTTTAGATAATTTCCACTTTTTGTGCTCATTTGTACTTCTTTTAGCATACCGTAATTGGGTAAACGTGTTGGGGAAACGTGTTCTTTCTGCTTTTGTCTGCTAATTTAAGCTTTTTCTAACTTTTCAGCTAGCTTGTTAGCATTTGTTTTAGCTAATTTCAGCCGTTTTAAGATAAATTCAAGTTTTTCAGGGTATTTTTTGCTATACATTCAGACTAATTATCGGTAACTTTATGCTCATTTCAGCTTGTTATGCTCATTTCAGCTTTTTTTCTGCTAGTTTCAGCCATTTCTGCTATGTCAGCTACGTTTCAGCTGTTAGTGCCAAACTTAGCTTTTTTAGCCATTTCCCCATTTTTGAGTTCATTTCAGCTCTCTCCGCTTTCTTCTGGTAGTTTAAGCTTCTTTCTGCCTTTTAGCAACTTTTCAGTAATTTTTTATGCTAATTTCAGCTTTTTTTAAGCTATTTTCCTAATTTTTGTGCAAATTTCTGCTTATTTAAACATATTTACGCAAATATGTGTCCTTTATGCTTTCTTTTGCTAACTTAGGCTTGTTTTTCCATTTCTGCTACAGTTCATGTTTTTTTTTAGCTAATTTCAGCTGTTTTTCAGCAAGTTCTTCTGCAATAAGCATTCACACTGCATTTTCACTGGAAATGTAATTTCTTTAGTTATATACAATGACAAGCACTTATAACAAAAAAAATTATACAATTTGATTATATATAGTAGCTAAAGATCCCAAAAAAGGTTTCCATCACAAGTTTGGGTCTATTTTTAATATATGGTGGCATAAACAAATATGTGTTCACTTGTATAAAACTTTTTTAAATTTTGTTGTACTTTTAACAAAAAATATGTCTTGTAAATAAAAACACTGACAGTTTTAATTCATTAGATGCAGTTAAAAATAAATCTGAACAGGAAATCCTGCAGGGTCAGATAAAATCTAGCACTCTCAACTCAACTTCGTTTTATACGACACTTTCAAACGCAGCGGTAACTCAAAGTGTTTAAACAAGCATAAAGAATGAGGAACGAACCAATAAAATACAGCAGAAAACAAACAGTAAAAGGAGGAAAAGAAAAGGTCATTGCATAAGATTACACGATAAAACATTAAAAAACACAGGTTAGTCAACAAAACTTTTACTGAGTGTGAAAATAAAAACTAAAAATCCTTGGAGGAACGGATATCGCTCGCTGAATGACATGCAGAGGTTTTATCGAGTGCGATTGCTTCACACTTTGTGTAGGTTGATGACTCTCAGCTACTACCAAACAAACTTTTGTAAAAATGACTGAAATAAAGTCATTTTAGTGTTTGCTAAGTTTGATTAAATGTGACGACCATTTTAAATCAGGTGAACCCCAAACGTTAATCATTTCACACACACAAACACTCCCCCCCACCCCCCACACACACTGCCTTTCATGGCAGTGGGTGATAACAAGGATTGTTCCTAAATAATAAAGATCTTTGCTTATATCTTTATATATATATATAAAGTTATAATATACCTTTAGCTTTTTGAAATATTTAGACTTTTCTGTCATTTTTTTCTCATAGAAAATGAATTGAGCTCATTTTACATCCTTCAAATCTTTAGATCTGTTTACAACCTTTAACTGCTCCTTTCACATTTTGTTCTGGTTCAGCTTCTTTCAGCTTCCTTGTGCAAATGTAATTTTTTTCAGCTACTTTCTGCTACTTTCAGCTGTTTTTTCAGCTGTTTAGTGATCTTTTTAGATTCTTTCTGCTAACTATAACATTGTTTGTGCTTCTTCAAATTTCATTCAGCTAATTTTAGCTTATTTTGCACCATTCAGCTTATTTATGCAAGTTTCAGCTTTTTCTGCTATTTCAGCTACTATTTAAGCAGTTTTGTGCTAATTTTAGTATTTTCAGCTAATTCCACATTTTTTGCACTTATTTAAACTATTTTCAGTCTAATTCAGTTAAAATGTGCTCGCTCCACTTGCTTCTGGTAATTTAAGCTTCTTTCTGCCTTTGTTAAGCTACTTTTCAGCTGTTTTTTGCTTATTTCAACTTTTTCAGATAATGTCTACTTTTTGTGCTAATTTCTGTTTCTTTCAGCAGACGTGTTCTTTTTGCTTTCTTCTGCTAATTTAAGCTTGTTCTACCTTTTCAGCTACTTTTTTTTTTTTAGCATTTTTAGCAAATATCAGCTGTTTTCAAAAATTCAAGTAAATTCAAGTTTTCTGTGGTAATTTCTGCTACTTTCGACCTAATTAACTTCTTTATGCTAATTTCAGCTTGTTTTGCTAATTTCAGCTTTTTTCAGCTACTTTTTAACTATTTTGAGTTAAATTGATCTTTTTCAGCTAATTCCACATTTTAGCTCATTTCTGCTCCTTCAACTTTCTTCTGGTAGTTTAAGCTTCGTTCTGCCTTTTCAGCTACTTCTCAGCTATTTTTCCAATTTCAACTTTTCTTAGCTAATTTCCTCATTTTTGTGCTCGTTTCTGCTTATTTAATCCTAATGTAGCAAATATGTGTTCTTTCTGCTTTCTTCTGCTAACTTAGGCTTGTTCTTCAATTTCAGCTACATTTCAGCATGTTTTTAGCTAATTCCAACTGTTTTTCAGCAAGATCTTCAGGAATAAGCACTCACACTGCATTTTTACAGGAAATGCAATTTTTCTATTTTCAATTGTGTCCCTTTTGAATAACATAAATGTTTTTACTGGCTTTCAGGATGCATGTTAAGTTGTAGCTACAGTACCTCATCTCTCATTTGATTGTTTCTTTACTTTCAATGCGGCTAGAATTACGTAGCATGTTTAATTTTCCATCTGATTTAAGTAAAATAAAACTCATAAATGACAGGGATTTGACTAAATTCCTATATTAAATGCACCAGTACGTTTTTACAGTGTAAAACATAAATCCAGCTGCTGTACAAGATTAACTTTGTTGCACGGACCACAAAGCATGTCAGAATGCTGATTAAGCTTCGCAGAGACTCACCAGCCACCAGGCCATGTCTCTGCCAGCCAAGAAATATCCACTCAGAGTGTTCCTGCTCACCCTGCATGAAGACTGACAGAGAAAACATCTGGTTATGTTTACAAATTGAATTTCTAATAAAACACACCTGCAAATAGAGACACATGTCTGCGTCTTACCCAGATACCGACTGCAAGATTCAGAAGAAAATATGTCACAATGACAATAATGTCAGAGAAGCTGACGGCCTGCGGCACGGTGTAGAAGTTGATGGTGGAGTTAGACATCCTCAGTGTTCACAATGAAAAAAATACTCAAATTTACTGCGTTTGATTGTTGTTTCTGTACACCTGCTAAATCTATCTCTTACACAAGAGGAAGTAATGTTTGAAGGCTTGTGTTCCCACAAATACAACCACCTAAAATCCCATAAAAAGACGTTTAAATGCCTTTAGCTGAAACACATGCGGTGAAACCCCCAACTCCAGCCGCTGGTAAGAGTCACTTCTGGAGCCGGACGACAAGCTGACGCTTGTGTTTCTGTAAAGCCCGAGACAAAGTGTCAGCAGCAGGTGTGAAGAGGGCAGTTCCTGAGCTGAATTGATGATTAATCACATCACCTTAATGGGGCTCTGGCAGCGCTGACACACGCGCTGTGCTGGGGGATAATGGAGTGCACAGGACAAGTGAGCACTGGAGTACAACAGATGCTCCTGTGGGCCAGAGTCCACGCTGACACACACGCACACACACATGCACACAGATGGTCAATAATTGCTGATGACAAGATTATTATCATTAGTGTCCGAACACACAAACATCTTTTGCTAAGGTGCTAATACGGTCAGAGAAAGTGAGTGTTATCGCTATTCTGAGTTTAAGATGAGAAAGTTGGACTTTCTTTTATTTTGTGTAGACAATTCTTAAAAAAAGTAGAGTCAATACGAAGACCCAGTCTGTATTTTTGGAAGTAATAATGTGATTAAGAGAGAACTGCCTGAGATTAGTGTTTGACAAAAAGAAAAGTTTTCTAAGGATGTTTCATGTTTTATTTTGTGTTTTTAATTGTCTCTTTCCTGCGGGGTCCCGCAAGGCTTGATTCTTGGACCACTTCTGTTTTCACTCTATTTGCTCCCTTTGGGGTCTATCCAGAGGAAAAATGTTTTTTCATTTCATTGCTATCAAGGTCAAGGTCAAGGTCAAGGTTCTTTATTGTCATTTGCATCGCATGTGGTACATATGGTGGAATGAAATTGTGTACACAGGGTGTCAATTACATCCAACAAAAGTATAAATTGTAATAAAAAAAAGGTAATAAGAGCTAAGAAATGAACTAAGAAATATGCTAAACTAAGAATACGCTAAACACTTAATAGTGCAAAAATAGTAATATGCCGAACAACAGCAGCACGAACTTGAGTCTGTGTGAGCAGATGAGTACGAATGAATATACTGATGATTGTCAGATTTATCTGCCCTTAAAACTAAATAGTTCTTGCTCCATTCACCCTCTGTTAAAATGTTGTTGATGCTCATCAGGGTGGAAAAAGTTACAAAACCATCTCTAAAGAGTTTGGACTCCACCAATCCACAGTCAGACAGATTGTGTACAAATGAAGGACATTAAAGACCATTGTTATCCTCTCCAGGAGTGGTGGACCAACAAAGATCACTCCAAGAGCAAGATGTGTGATAGTCAGCGAGGTCACAAAGGAGCCCAGGGTAACTCCTAAACAACTGAAGGCCTCTCTCACGTTGACTGATGTTAATGTTCATGAGTCCACCATCAGGAGAACTCTGAACAACAATGGTTCATGGCAGGGTTGAAGGAGGAAGTCACTGCTCTCCAAAAAGAACAATGATGCTCATCTGCAGTTTGATAAAGATCACATGGACAAACCAGAAGGCTGTTGGAAGAATGTTTTGTGAATGGATGAGACCAAAATACTTTTTGGTTTAAATGAAAAGAGTTCTGTTTGGAGAAAGGAAAACTCTGCATTCCTGAATAAGAACTTGATCCCATCTGTGAAACATGGTGGTGGTAGTATCATGGTTTGGGTCTGTTTTGCTGCATCTGGGCCAGGACGGCTTGACATCATTGATGGAACAATGAATTCTGAATTATATCAGAGAATTCTAAAGGAAAATGTCAGAACATCTGTCCATGAACTGAATCTCAAGAGAAGGGGGGTCATGCAGGAAGACACTGACACTAAACACACAAGTCATTCTACCAAAGAATGGTCCAAGAAGAATAAAATAAAGTTCATGTTTTGGAATGGCCAAGTCAAAGTCCTGACCTTAATCCAATCCAGATGTTGTGGAAGGACCTGAAGCCAGTGTGCAGGACTGATCAACGGGGGGGGGGGGGGGGGGGGGTCACACCAGATAATGAAAGTAAAGGTTCACACACTTTTGCCACTCACAAATATGTAATATTGGATAATTTTCCTAAATAAATAAATGATCAAGTGTAATATTGTTGCCTCGTTTGTTTAACTGGGTTCTCTTTATCCACTTTTAGGACTTGTGTGAAAATCTGATCATGTTTTAGGTCAGATTCATGCAGAAATATAAAAAATTCTAAAGGGTTCACAAACTTTCAAGCACTGCTGTGGACTTTCTGTACATTTTTTGCTGGTAAAACAACACGAGGGGACAAAAAGTCCAAGAAGAGGATGTTAAAAGAGTTGAGCAAGTTTGCTCACATGCTTCCTGATGTGAAATTAACTCGGTGTCAAACACAAAATGCTGCTCTGATGTTTGTCTACTATAAGGAGCAGATGGCGGTGATGGAGACACCCTGACGTCACACTCATCATCATTAATCTTTCTCTCTCTCTCTCGCTCTCTCTCTCTCTCTCACACACACACACACACACACACAACTGAACATGTAAAAGCGCAAAGCACAGTTATGAATAGTTTTGAGAGATGAAAGAATCTGCTTAATTTAAGATAAATGTTTAGCCCTAAAAAATGTGTTCCTCATAAATCAATTAAAACAAGGTTTCATCTTCAAATTGAACAGGAGTGAAAGACAGTGAGACACGAGCATTATTTCAAGGAAAGGTGTTTATTTTGCTTTAATTGTTTTTCCTAAATTGTAGACAAAAGTGATTAAAAAAATAACAGAAGGAACATAAATGTACATAATGGTTGTAGTAGTATTATGAAAGGAGCTCATGACGTAAAGTTGTTGAAAGTAGTTTCAAATGAATAAAGTATAAACTTGATTTTTGTACATTACCTGAAGACTTGAGAGACTTGCACTCACACACCCAACAGTTCTGCAGAAACAATGTTATGTTAACTAATATAAATTTAAGGATGATAAATATATTTAAGGAAATTTAGACAGCATAGTGCACGGGGCTTCCAAAATTCAACTTATGATTCCTTAATATTTGCATTAGATCAGCGTTTTTGTTGACTGTGAAGATGGTTCATAGATGAAATACAGGAATACAGTATTTTATTTTCTTACCTGGTATGGCTCCATCTGAACTTCTGTTGGAGTCAGCTGATATCATTAGCTGTCACATTCATTTAAGCACAAATAATACAAATAAAATATTTATGTTCAAATATTTTAGTATGAAAGCCAAAACTACACGAATTTATGTTTGAACACAAAACACATACTCTGAGTTTAGCTAGCATGCTACAAGCTCATAAACAGCGCCGTTTAGTGGTTGAATAGCCGTATTACCTTCATAACCTTCATAGCAGAAACGAAGCTGAATTATTTTAAACGTTAGAATATATATTTAAGGGCTGTCCGTAGTTTCCAGCTTGAGCGGCCTTTGATTTTGAACATTTTAGGCAAACTTATCGAGTTTACCTATAATGCATGACGGGAAATGTAGTAAAACTTCAATAGCCAATCAGATTACGGATAACTCACGTTACCCGGATGTAAAACTTCACAACAAAAAATTACCGGGAATTTCTTCAGCGAAAGCAGCCGCTGCCGAAGTTGAGAGAAAAATATAAATGAAAGCAGAGTTTTTGCTGTTCTTTGGCGTTAGGTAAAGTAGCTGCTGTTTGTGTGGTTGTAAATTGTTTCCACTTAAACCCAAAATGGACGAATACGACGAGATATTCGGGATTGAGGACCACTTCGACGAGCAGTTCGCCGACGAGCTCGAAGTGTTGGCTGAGATGGAGGAGGGTGAGTGGGAACCAGCTCTTCCATGTTTGTTTTCAGTGTTTGCCACTAAGGTTTAACATGGAAGTCCGGGTTTGTTTTCTGTGGTGCTCAGCCTTTTGTGATGCACTCAGCGTGGTGAACTTTCAAATTAAACGTTTTCGTCAATGAGTTCATTTTATGAGCGCAGTTAAAAGGCGAACCCAGTTCTGGCAGGCATGCTTAGAGTACGGTATATAAATAACTTTGCACAGCCGATAAAAACTTAATATTTGACCTCTTATGACAATAATACTTGTTTTTATTACTGTACCTTTTGTGATTGAAGCATTTCCATTGGCTTCCTGTCAATTTCAAAATATAATTCAAAATTTTACTTCTAACCTACAAAGCCCTCAACAACCTAGCTCCATCTTATATTACAAATCTTATTGTCAGCTGGTCGAAGCAGATGGCCACTTGTCCTGAGCCTGGTTCTGCTCAAGGTTTCTTCCTCATGAGGGAGTTTTTCCTTTCCACTGTCGCCTTCATGCTTGCTCAAGATGGATGAAGTTAAACTCAAAGCAGTCTGTTCCTCAGATAATTAATTTGATTAACGTTTATATATATGAATGATTTTGTTCAGTGCCCTGAGATGACTTCTGGTGTGACTTGGCGCTACATAAATAAACTGAATTGATTTTATTGTTTACAATGTAACCCTTTATTTCTGTCTTCTGGGCTCTGCAGAGACATTTGGCATTTGAGATGAAAGAGAGATTTAAACAACTGGACAGTTTTCAAAATCGATTATTTGAAATTAAATTATTTGTCTGGTCAAATTTAGGACTTGTATAAATGTGTGTGTTTCCTGTAATCTTCTGTTTATGTAAAAACAGTCAAGTAATGCATTTATAATCAAGCTTTGGGGACAATAAGTTGATAGCACAAAAGAACAAATTGGTTAATAGAAGGTCTAAAAATAGTTTGAGTTTATGTACTTTTTTCAACAAGTGTGTATAAATCATGTTACTATTCCCTGAAGTGGTAAAAATGTGACTGAGATTTGTTTCAGATGAAATGTCAAAGCCTGCAAAGCGTCAGAAACAAGGTTCAGGAGACGACATTGCTGACATCGAGCACCTGTTGGACGATCATCCCATCAGTGAGTTTTATTTTTAATTCCATGTTTATTTGGCTCTTGCGCTTGATCGCTGTTTTTACACTTGTACCTTCAATCAAATAAGTTATCTATGAAGCACACTAATAGGAACTGCTTATGGCAGCACACTAAACAATAAATTATATATAAAAAAAATAACCAAAGATTTTTCTGGTAAAAGCAAATAAAAAATATGACAAGACTTAAGATGAAACCATTAAAATGATGCTAAGAGACTTAAAAACACTTAGAGTTGAAGCCTGTCTGATATGAAGCGGCAGCTAGGTCCACAGTTTAGGAGATATTTTAGTCAAAAAACAACAATAAATAAATAAAATGATTTTGATTTAAATGAAGGTAAATTTGAGTATCATCTGTGCAGAAATTAAAATATTAAATTTTTCGACGATCTAGCCCAAGAGGACGAGCATGTTGATGGAAAATAAAATGGTTCCAAGAATAGATTCTTGGGGAACTCCACATATGAAAGGGCACTGAAGAGGAAACAGATTCTCCAAGGCTTACGGGCTTGAGTCAGCTGTTGGGTCTTAAAGCACAGGAGCAGCTGAGACTCCATTACTGATCAAAGTTAATTTAAAACTATCAAAAAATGCCGTTTCAGTTCGGTGATGAGATTTAAACCCAGACTGACACATTTCAAGAATGGTGTTGAAAAGGACTGCAGTTGCAGTTTTTAACTAGAACTACAATTGGAACGAATAAATGAGTGAAAGTTATTTGTCTTCAGCAACTACTGAACTGAACAACACCTGAGCTGAAACTGCTTTTAAAAGTCACAAAAATGTCAGACCCAACAACTTTGAACACTTTCTTTAAAATGATTAAAAAACATAATTTAGACAAGTTGTTCATGTTGTTTAGTATTTTCAAATGGAAAACTGAAATGATGGAGGTAGATGATTCATGTTGTGTAACTTGTTGGTAAAAGTAAAACATAGGAATTTGTCACATGTTGTCCCCACCATCACAAACATCTACACCTGCATCATGAAGGACCCCACTCACCCAGCACACACTTTTTTGCCCTGCTCCCCTCAGGAAGGAGGTTGAGGAGCATTAAGTGTAGAACCACTAGACTGAGGAACAGCTTCTACCCTGAGGCTGTTAGACTCATGAATCTCTAACCAGAATAATCACTGTGAAAAATCACATCATGTTGCTGCTGATCTGTTTCATGTTGCTGCTTATCTGTTTCTTGTTGCTGTGTTCATGCGTGCACATCTGCTCACACAGACTCATGTTCATGCTGCTGTTCGGTGTATTGTTTTTTATGCTATTAGTGCTTAGTGTATTTAGTTAACGTTTTTCTTTGTATCTTAGATCTTTTTACCGTTTTTCTTTTACATTTTATACTTTTGTTGGATGTAACTAGGACCCTGTGTACACAATTTCATTCCACCACATGTACCACATGTGGTGTGTATAATTAATAAAGAACCTTGAATCCTTGAGAAGTTACCTAGAACAGAGTCAAGTAGAGAAAATAACCTGAGGATTGTGAAAGTTGTTTTCGGTGACATTAAAGTAAACAACAACTGCTTTTTCAGATTTGACTTTAGTTAAAGTTTCAACTGCTGCTTTCAGCTCCAAAGGCGAAGCGGCAGAAGCAGGATGCCGGTGTGGTAAAGCAGCTTTTTAAGGCTGCAGAAAGTCGGGAGCGTAAAGTCCCAACACGGCATGATGGCATCACACCACCATCCTCTCCTGAGCACTACGAGCCCTCGGACACCTTCAGGTAGGAGAGACGTACTGTATGCTGAACGTTGGGAAAACCGAAGGCTTGCCTGTCTGATAATGTGACTCCGTGCACTTTAGACTGTTACAGAAAACAAGTATTAACTGTTTCTTTGCAGTGACCGTGCAAGAGGTCATGCTCTTTTAACTTGCAGACGTGGTTCTTGTGCTCTGTTTACTTTAAGTTGACGCCAGACTTTTACTCACAAACTGCTTCCTAATAAAATCCTTAAAAGTTCCACAGATGTCTTGTGGCTTAGAATATAATATTCCTCCTAGTATACGTTTTATAATAGATCAAGATAATTTTATTATGTGAAGCTTAGTCGTTCAGGAAGGGAACGCTTGTCTATGAAGGGGCTTTTGCTGTGCGTTTTAGGTCTCCTCCTGCTGTGCTGGATATCAGTGGCTTAGCTGAGATCCCAGAGACTCCCAGTCGACCCCTGACAGCTGCTTCACCATCATCCCTGCACGTTCTCAGGCGACCTCCTTCGGAAGGAGAGTACATCAGTGTAACAGATTCATCGGGGAATCGGGTTTACCTCAGACAGAAAGAAGAGATGGAGACGAAGGTTAAAGGCTGCACACTTGTTCCCTTATGTTTAATTTGCACGTCTTTCTCCTGTAAACGTCTTCAAACCGCCCCAATTTACAGAAACACGTCTTTACAGTAAATGTACAGATTATATCAGAGGATTTTTTTTTTGGATTGTTATATATTTCTGCAGCTCGTGGACTCCAGACTTGCACCAAACTCGTACGGTGCACTGGGGCTCCTGGCAGTGCCATTAAGAGTTTTGAAAGAACAAGAGGCAGAGCGGGTGAGTGACTCCTGCAGCTTTAAAAAATATACCACGATATGAAAAGCAAGTTTTATATCTTATGGTAAATTAGAAATTCTGCTGTGCCTTTATTCTCCTTGTATTTTATACATAAATGCCATATATTGGGAGGAAAAAGTTCAACAATATAATAAATGCTAAACTTAATTATGTGAAATTATTTGATTAAGAATAATAATACAGTATTGCAATAATAATATAAGATTTAAATTTGAGAACATTAAAATGCAGCTTAATGATTTAAATTTTGTTAGCTTCAAGCTACCCATTTGCGCTTATAATTTCAGCCTTTAACATTTCAACAACTATTTACCGTATGTTTTGCCGTACACGTCGCTCCGCTGTATAAGTTGCATCAGTCCCAATATGTCTAATAAAGTGGAAAAATCAATAAATATGTCGCTTTGCAGTATAAGTTACATCTGTTATGCGTCACCAATGACAACCTGGAAACGTGGTCCGGTGTTGTGCCAAAAATCGATGGGCTGACAAATGGCAGCTGCGGGAGCGTGCACGGGAGGACTTTAACAAGAATTTAACAAGATTAACACTTAAAAACAATTTGTTTGCTCGAAATTATAGTAAAGGTGTGTCCAGTCTAACTTTTCCTTAATAAATTCACTTTGATGCTCAAATCAGCTGCATTTCAAAAGCCGATACGCGGCAGTAGGAACGCACAGAGGGCCAAGTTGCTGTGCGTTTCTTCGAAATTTAACAAGATAAGCACCTAAAACAATTATTTGTTTGCTCCTAATTATAGTAAAGGTGTGTCTCAGTTGAACTTTTACTTAATAAATGCTCTTTAATGGTCAAATTAGCTGCATTTCACCAGGGCGGCGCAACAAAAATGAAGCAGATTTGACGGTCAGTCCAAGCAGCGAGCAAAGATAGAAACTATTCTATGGCAAGCTGATTGTGTCATTAATAGCTGGTGAAAATTCTCAGTCATCCAGGACATGGACTACATGATACAAAGGCATGCCATACTACTTGAGCGCCATCTAGCAGCTGAAAATGATAGTGCTCAATATTTTCAGTCAGAATGAATGAAAACGGTCATATCTCAGCCAAACATTGGTTTATAATATCAGAAAAAAAATCCATAAATATGTCGCTTCGGCCTATAAGTCGCAGGGAATGCAAATTATGCAAAAAAACGCGACTTATACAGCGAAAAATACCGTAATTAGATGAACTACTGATGCAGAGAGCTGTGAAGGCAGCATTATGATGCTTTCAAGTGCTCAGCTGCACATCTTTCAGCCTCATCACATCATTTAAGTGAGTGATTTGATTGGCTGTGGTCCCAGTAACTTATCCTGTACTGGGCTACGGCTAATTCCTCAAACAGACTGCATATAATTTGTTCACATTTTAAACACTTTTCAGACAGAAAGAATGAGCTCAGAGGTTTAATTTGTATAGTTTAATATTACCATGAAAAAAGATCATTATGTACAAAGTGATGATCTTTTTAATTAAATTGTGACGATCAGCTTAAACACTTTTTTAGTAAATTTAATAAATCTGTCTGAGAGAAAGGAAGATTAAAAAAAGCTAAATTAATTTAATGAATTAATCAGTCTTGGGTTTAAGACTGGTAAAAATAAAATATGTGGATTATTTATCTAATAAAAAACAAAGAAACACTTATTTATGGTTTAGTACACGTGTCTTGTTGGTTATTGTGTAGCTGTTCAGAGGCCCGGGGGTGTTGGCAGGTCTGAAGTGAGCGTGTTGAGCAGATTCATCAGAAACCATGAAGCTTGATTTGTAGCTCTGCATCAAGTCTAAATGTAAGGACACTTAAAGATTTATTCTGAATTCATGCAGCGCCACCAGCAGGTTGTTGAGGAATCACAGCGTCTTACAGAGCTGCTGGACAGGTACCTCTCACACACACATGCACGCGCAGGTAGTAAAGCTCCATTTTTGAAGTTTTTCTGTTTGAGCGTCTCGTTCCAGCAGCGTGAACGGCGTCTTTGCTGCATCTGAAAATGACGAAAATGAGGATCTTGAAGACGCAGAGGGACGGGCGTCTCGACTGTGGGTGGACAGATTTTCTCCACGCCACTTCACAGAGCTTCTCAGTGATGATGTAGGTGAAATCTATTCCTGCACAATGCCATTCAGTAGTCCCTCGTTTATTGCGGGGGTTGCGTTCCGGACCCCCCCACAATAAGTAAAAATCCGCGAAGTCTGAACACTATATTTATTTTAGTATTTATACATATTTTAAGGGTTTATAAACCTCTTGCAATGTTCTAAACTCTTAAATCTGCGTAATTTTAACAACATGCGTACTGTATATAGTAAATGGACTGTATTTATATAGCACCTTTCTATCTTCTCAACATACTCAAAGCGCTTTACACTACAATCTGTGCCTCATTTATCCATTCACACAGCACTCTGCTAGATCTGCACAAAGATAATTGAACAAATCATTCTAAAGAGACGAATCAGAGCTTTATCACATTCAAACACCGATGGGACACACATTGGAGGCAATGAGGGGCTCAGTGTCTTGCCCAGGGACACTTCGGTGTGTGACTGCTGGTGGATTTGAACCCCCAACTCTTGCATTGGAGGATTACTGCTCTAACCACTCAGCCATGGCTTCCTGTCAAGTCAAGTATATATACTGCACAGTAGAAAGGTTTGTAGCCTCAGTCATCCAGGTAGATGACGAAAAAGGTTAACTCATGGAATCTGGACCAGTTTCTCCCTTAAAGAAACTGGTCCGACATGATTTAAGCTTTTTTTTGTTACTGCACTGTAGCTACTGCAAAATTTTATATGAGTACTAATCAGCCCGGGTCCGGTTCTGATCGGCTCTCTGCAGCCGTTGAGCACCAAGACCTGCACAAAACCACACAAAGTCAAAGTCCCGGTGAGCTTCCGGAGAAAACACCGGACCTCCAAGCAACGCCTCCCCGCTCGATAGGCCTCATGAGCCGGCATGCAGCACTCAGGTTGACTGATGAGGCTGGAAGTTCAGTTCTGATCCATTTCCCAGTCGGTTCCATACAGCTCTCTGCATCCACTGAGCGCCAAGTCACTATGAATAAGGACCAAACGTTTTCGGATCAGATCAAAAATTTCCCTCCATTTCAGCAGAAAGCAGCAGCTGGAATCACTGTTGGCTTCTGGGTAATGTAGTTCTTTTGAGTGGCAATACGGTGCAGGCTTATTGAGAGAAAACTACAAAATGGCGGCGCCTGTCCGAAGTATTTTTATTTAACTTTTTTACTGTATTCCGTATTGTCACAGTCATGCGAGTAATATTAAAGTTGACAACTGTGTATCATGTATGCATTTTTTTTGACGTGTACAATCTTAGTTGGAAAAACGGCGAAAGAGCGAGTCTACAAAAGTCGAACCGTGAAGTAGCGAGGGATTACTGCAAACCCATAGTCCTCCTCTCTTGTACAGACACATTTGGTGCTTTAACGTTTTGCTGCAGTTTACAAACCGCTGCTTGCTCAAGTGGCTGAAGCTGTGGGACACGGTGGTGTTCGGCAGAGAGAGGAAGTCCCGCCCTGCTCGCTCTGACAGACAGGCTGCCAGTCAGAACGCCTTCAAACCCAATCAGGGAAATCAGAACCCAAATCGCTTTAAGAGTAAGATTGAGATAACCGAGGAGCTTCTGGAGGCCGAACTGGATCAATATAAACGACCCAAGTTTAAGGTAAAGCAGATTATTGTATCAGCTTTGGTTTAATGAGCTTAACGGATTAAAAGATAACTATTTCTTGTGTCTGTTTAGGTGGTGCTGTTGTCCGGTCCTCCTGGTTTAGGGAAGACAACTCTGGCTCACGTCATAGCGAAGCATGCTGGGTACAACGTGGTGGAAATCAACGCCAGGTTGGACGACTTGGGTTAAAACATCACAGCTCAGTTTATTCGCTGTCCTGACGTGTTATTTGATGCCGTTTCTGCAGTGATGATCGCAGCGCCGAGGTCTTCCAGAAACGCATCGACACAGCGACGCAGATGAAGTCCGTTTTAGGAGCCAACGAGAAGCCGAACTGCCTCATTATAGACGAGATCGATGGAGCGCCTGCGGTAATGTCAAGACTATGTTTTAAACAAGAAAACAAGTTGTTAAAGGCCTTGCATATCACCATAAAACGTTTCTTGTTTCTTTTAGTTAGAGTAAAACTGAGAAATAATGGAGTTGTAGCTGTTCTGGTCAAACTCTGAAAACAACTTTAAACACGTTCTCATGCGAGATGTCACACTTAGGGTGCGTGTTGCAAGTCAGATTTTAATTCAGCATCTGTAAAATTCACTGAGTCATAGCCGTTTTTGTGTGGACTAATGTTGATTAGTTGTGGCGGCCATGTTGAATTGGTTTGGCTCCACAATATATTCAGTTATAGATGTACATCCAGTGATGTAAAGATTTTTCACTGGTAACAGACAAATTCACACAGACACGAGCAAAGCCTTATGTTCTGCCTCTTTTTGTGGCAGTGATGAATATAATTCATTTCGGTTTATATAGCGCCAAGTCACAACAGAAGTCATCTCAGGGCACTGAACAGAAACATTCATATTTATAAAAACTCAATAACGTTATTTATCTAACGTAGCGTAGCCAGTAGATTGTGTTGAATCTTCATTTGTCACAGTCTCCCATCCTGAGCAAGCACAAAGGCAACAGTGGAAAGGAAAACTTCCTCACAACAGGAAGGAACCTCCAGCAGAACCAGGCTCAGGATGAGTGTCCATCTCCTTCAACCGGCTGGGTTTGAGAGGAGCAGGAAAGAGGAACAGATACACAATGGCAGGTCAAGAATGGAGGCGAGCAGGTCCCTCACTAGGAGGAAAGAAAAAAAAAAACACGTTAGGATTATATTAATAATTACAAATACAAACAATTCATTTGTAACTATTAATTTGATGAAATGAGGTCAGTTTGTTCTCTAGTAGTCAAAGCTTATAGCAGCATAGGATAAGGGATAGGTCAGGAAACACAAGCCAATCCTAACTATAGGATTTATCAGAAAGGAAAGATGTAAGCCTAATCTTAAAACTGGACAATGTGTCAGCCTCACGGTCAGAAACTGGAAGTTGGTTCCACAAGAGAGGAGCCTGAGAACTGAAAGATCTTCCTCCCATTTTGCTTTTGGAAACTCTAGAAACCACAAGTAAACCTGGAGAGCACATTGCTCTATTGGGAAAATGTGGGAATATACATTTTTAGTTGTAAATGTTTCGCTCTCCTTTCCTCTGCAGGCTGCCATCAACATCCTGTTAGCGGTTTTGAACAGAAAAGACGGACATGGCGGAGAGGCCATAACAGAGGCGACGACGAAGAAGAAAAAGAAGAAGGAGCCCATCTTGCTTCGACCAATCATCTGCATCTGCAACGACCTGTATGAGACACCGACTTTTATGAGCAGCATCAAACTGAAGACTTTTAATGTTGGTTTTCAGATTTTCACGTTGCCTCCGTTTTCCTTTAGTTACGTTCCAGCTCTCAGACCTCTCAGGCAGCAGGCCTTTCTACTGGCTTTCCCTCAAACTCAGCCTTCCCGTCTCACTCAGAGACTCGCGGAGGTCAGTGCACACACACACACACTCGCAATGAGAACACGCAGATCATTGAGTTTCTGAGCAGAGCTTTTGTTTTCAGATCTCACAGCGGCAGGGGCTCAAAGCAGACATCGGCGCTCTGATGTCGCTGTGCGAGAAAACGGACAACGACATTCGCTCCTGCATCAACACGCTGCAAGTGCGTGCCGGCATCGTGAAGGAAGCTGTCTGTTGCATTTGTAGTAAATAAACTATAAGTTTTGTTTGTGGTTGCGCAGTTCCTCCACGGCCGCGGCCTCAAGCAACTGGACACCAGAACTGTCCAGAATATCTCAGTTGGACAGAAGGACCAGAATAAAGGCTTCTTCCATTTGTGGCAGGAGATCTTCCAGTTACCTCGAATTAAAAGGTTTGTTTTATCAGTTCTGCATTCAGAAAGAAGAAGCAGGTGTTACTTTTCCACTTAATAAATTTAGAAATCTAACAGCTTTTGCAGAAAACAATTGGTTTTGCCATTTAGTTCTCATACTGAAGTTTAGTTTAATCAGATTTCTGACTGACTTGATCTTTAGGCTCCTCATACACACTGTATACTTACTGTGTGTGAACATCCAGCTATGTGATTTCTATGGTCAATAACTGATGTAATTTTTATTTAATGGTCAATATGAATTTTTAATTGAACTATAATTACCTAAAAGAACTACAGTATATTTAAAAACCTTTACAAAATATTTAATATTTTATCAAATAAAAGGAACCAACACATGTATCAGATGTGTTGAGATCAACTAGAGACAAAATCACGTTTTCAGTTTCAAATCTGACGTGTCATCCACACTTCTCTGGTTTTTTAGGCTCCCCTTTTCTCAGGAGCTCGTTGCTGATTTGTTTTGTTTCAGGAAACGTATCAGTGAGGGCTTTGAAGAGGCGCCCGGTTCAGGAAGTGGAGCTGAAAGGTTTCAGCACGTTTTACACCTCGCTTCATCCAGTGGCGAATATGAAAAGGTGTCTCAGGTAATAAACTCAACTGCTTTTCTTCGGTCTCTGCACCGAAACAAGTTTTGATCAACAGTTTGATAGAATCAACGAGTTAAACCAACAGTATTTCTCTTTTGTTGATGCGTTGCCTGTTTTTCCTCAGGGTCTGTATGATAATTATTTGTCCATGCGGGTGAGAGATCCCAACCTGCACAGCGTATGCGAGGCTCTGGATTGGCTCGGGTTCTCTGACAGGCTGAACCAAGTGATTATGCACGGACAGAACTTCTCTCTGATGAGATACCTGCCCTTCCTGTCCGTCGCATTTCACTTCCTGTTTGCTCACACAAATGTGCCACGCATCAGTTATCCCCACAGCCAACAGGAGGTACTAATACAACAACCAGAGTGGAGTCACAGGAAGTGATTCATAACAAATAAATAAATGAACATCAGCTCATGTTGCAAAGGGAGCAAATATTACCTGCAAACTTTGTGTATTTTTAGCCAAAGCAATGTCAGAAACTTAAGTCTCTACCTGACATGTGTCTTCTCCAGGCTTCGTCCCGTCTCCTCAGCTGCAGGAATGCTATGTCCACCATGTTGGCTGAAATCCCAGCAAGCATCCAAGAGAGAATCAGCCGCCTCAGCCTGACCCTCGATATTCTCACTCTGCTCCTCAACATCATCTGTCCCAAACTACGGCCTGTATGCTGTTTATTTATTTACTTACTCACTTATGTACTTACTTTCGTACTTACATACTTACGTACGTACTTACTTACATACTTACGTACTTACTTACTAACGTACTTGCTTACGTACTTACATACTTCTTATGTACGTACTTACAATTACTTACATACTTACTTATGTTTTTTATTTACGTATGTACGTACATACTTACTTACTTATGTACCGGTACTTATTTACTTACGTACTTACTTACTAACGTACTTGCATACTTACTTATGTACATACTTACTTACATACTTACTTATGTATTTACTTACGCACATACGTACTTACTTACTTACATACTTACTTACTTATGCACTGGTGCTTATTGCGTACTTACTTACTAACTTACTTACTTACATACTTACGTACTTACTTACTTACTAACTTACTTACTTACATACTTACTTACATACTTACATCCTTACTTACGTACTTACTTACATACTTACATCCTTACTTACGTACTTACTTACTAACGTACTTACTTACGTATTTGCATGCTTACTTATGTACCTACTTATTAACGTACTTACTTACTTGCGTATTTACTTCTGTACATACTTACGTATTTACATACTTGCTTACTTACGTGCTAGCATACTTGCTTATTAACATACTTACTTACGTGCTTACTTACTTACTTATGTACCGGTACTTACTTATTTACGTACGTACTTACTTACGTACGTACTTGCTTATTTACTTACATACTTACTTATTAACATACGTACGTACTTGCTTTCTAACATACTTAAACGCTTACTTCTTTGAAAGCATATATTGTAAGTCTGTGTAGACGTCTGGCTCTTCCATCCCTGGTTTCTGGTCCCTGCTTCAGTTTGTGGCGCTCGTGTTTTGTGTATTTCCTGCAGGTGAACCCGCAGCTGTTCAGCAGCAGAGAGAAGGAGCAAATGCACGAGCTGATCGACACCATGCTGGCCTACAACCTCTCATATAGACAGGACCGCACACCTGAAGGGCAGTACACATACGTGCTTGAGCCGTGAGTACACACACACACACACACACACACACACACACACACACACACACACA